AGGAAGGCTTTAAAAATCCCAACCTTGTGAAGGGGTGGGATAAGGGTCTTGTATCCTATGTGGTCATGGAGGATCCTGAATGCAAAAGTGCCCTACTTAGTATAATGCTTTGTCATCACTGTCTTGAAATTCTTAATTTATGAGTTAAAAGGCCCACATTTTCTTTTTGCAGTGTAGCCTGAAAATTACATAGCCAGCCCTGGCCTTTGACTATGGTTTACATTTTTAATTTAGATAGATTTATTTGCTTTTATTTTTTTAATTAAATATTTTAAAATAATTGTACATGCAGTTATAAGTAATAATATAGAGTGATACCATGTTTCTTTACCCAGTTTCCCCCCAGTGGTAACATCTTACAAAGCTATTCTACAAATAGCACAACCAGGATATTGGTATTAATATAGTCAAGCTACAGAACAATTCTACCACCACAAGGATCCCTTATGTTGCTCTTTTCTAGCCATGCCTAGAAACAGCTCCTTCTGTCCCCCATAACCCCCACCATCTTTGATCCTTGACAGCCACTAATCTGTTTCTCAAGATTACTATATAAATAGAATTATAGAATGTATGACCTTTTGATATTAGCTTTTTCACTAAGCATAATTTCTGAGAGTTTCTAAGTTGCTGTGTTATCCATAGTTTGTTCCTTGTTATTGCTGAATAGTATTCCATGGTATGGATATACTGTACTTTCTTTAACCGCTTACTTATTCAAGGACATCTTGTTGGTATGTATAGAATGCCTTTCTCTATCATTTTGTAGTTTTCCGTTTTTTTTTTTTTTATTGTACTTTAGGTTCTCAGGTACATGTGCAGATCATGCAGGATTGTTGCATAGATACATACATGGCAAGGTGGTTTGCTGCCTTCATCCCCCCATCACCTATATCTGGTATTTCTCCCCTCATTATCCCTCCCCACCCTCCCCACCCCCGCTGTGCCTCCCCTAGCCCCTCCCTACTGTCCACAGTGTGTGATGCTCCCCTCCCTGTATTCACATGTTCTAATTGTTCAATGCCTGCCTATGAGTTATAACACATGGTGTTTGGTTTTCTGTTCTTGTGTCAGTTTGCTGAGAATGCTCGTTTCCAGATTCTTACATGTCCCTATGAAGGACATGAACTCATTGTTTTTTATGGCTGCGTAGTATTCCATGGTGTATCTATGCCACATTTTCTTTATCTAGTCTATCGATGATGGAAATTTGTGTTGTTTCCAGGTCTTTGCTATTGTAAACAGTGCCACCATGAACATTCGTGTGCATTTATCCTTATAGTAGAACAATTTATAGTCCCTTGGATATATACCCAGTCATGGGATTGCTGGGTCAAATGGAATGTCTATTTCTAGGTCCTTGAGGAATCGCCACACTGTCTTCCACAATGGTTGAACTAATTTACACTCCCAACAACAGTGTAAAAGTGTTCCTATTTCTCCACATTCTCTCCAACATCTGTTGTCTCCAGACCTTTTAATGATCACCATTCTAACTGGCATGAAATGGTATCTCAATGTGGGTTTGATTTTTATTTCTCTAATGACCAGTGATAATGAGCATTTTTTCCCTATGTTTCTTGGCCTCATCAATGTCTTATTTTGTAAAGTATCTGTTCATATTCTTCACCCACTATTTTGTTTGTTTGTTTGTTTCTTGTAAATCTATTTTAGTTCTTTGTTGATTCTGGATATTAGCCCTTTGTCAGATGGGTAGATTGCAAAAATTTTTTTCCCATTCTGTTGGTTGCTGGTTCACTCTACTGATTTTTTCTTTTGCTGTAGAGAAGCTCTAGAGTTTAGTTAGATCCCATTTGTCTATTTTGGCTTTTGATGCCATTGCTTTTGGTGTTTTAGCCATGGAGTCCTTGCCTATGCCTATGTCCTGAATGATTCTGCCTAGGTTTTCTTCCAGGGTTTTTATGGTGTTAGGTCTTATGTTTAGATCCTTAATCCATCTGGAGTTAATTTTAGCATAAGGTGTCAGGAAGTGGTCCAGTTTGTGCTTTCTGCACATGGCTAGCCAGTTTTCCCAACACCATTTATTAAACAGAGTATCCTTTCCCCATTGATTGTTTTTGTCAGGTTTGTCAAAGAACAGATGATTGTATATGTCTGGTGTTGCATCTGAGGCCTCTGTTCTGTTCCATTGGTCTATGTCTCTGTTTTGGTACCAGTGCCATGCAGTTTTGATTACTGTGGCCTTGTAGTATAGTTTGAAGTAAGGCAGCATGATGCCTCTGGCTTTGTTCTTTTTGCTGAGGATTGATTTGGCTATGTGGGCTCTCTGTTGGTTCCATATGAAGTTTGAAGTGGTTTTTTCCAGTTCTGTGAAGAAGGTCATTGGTAGCTTGATGGGGATAGTGCTGAATCTATAAAATACTTTGGGCAGTATGGCCATTTTCACAATGTTGAGTCTTCCTAACCATGAACATGGAATGTTTTTCCATCTGTTTGTGTCCTCTCTTATTTCATTGAGCAGTGTTTTGTAGTTCTCCTTGAAGAGGTACTTTACTTTGTTCATTGTATTCCTAGGTATTTTGTTTTCTTTTAGCAGTCGTGAATGGGAGTTCACTTTTGATTTCACTCTCTGTCTGTTATTGGTGTATACAAATGCTTGTGATTTTTGCACATTGATTTTGTATCCTGAGACTTTGTGGAAGTTGCTTATCAGTTTCTGGAGATTTGGGGCTGAGACAATGGGGTCTTCTAAATATACAATTATGTCATCTGCAAATAGAGACAATTTGACTTCCTCTCTTCCTATTCGAGTACACTTTATTTATTTCTCTTGCCTGATTGCCCTGGCTAGGACTTCCAATACTATATTGAATAGGAGGGGTGAGAGAGGGTATCCTTCTCTTGTGCCAGATTTCAAAGGGAATGCTTCCAGTTTTTGCTCATTCAGTATGATATTGGCTGTGGGTTTGTCATGAATAGTTTTTATTATTTTGTGATATGTACCATCAATACCTAGTTTATTGAGGGTAAACAGGAGCTGAATTTTGAAAAGATCAACAAAATAGACTTCTCACCAGACTAATAAAAAAGAAAAGAGAGAATCAAATAGATACAATAAAAAATGATAAAGAGGATATCACCACCGATTCCACAGAAATACAAACTAACATCGGAGATTACTACATACAACTCTATTCACACAAACTAGTAAATCTGGTGGAAATGGAGAAATTCCTGGACACTTGCATTCTCCCAAGACTAAACCATGAAGAAATTGAATCCCTGAATACACCAATAACAAGGTCTGAAGTTGAGGCAGTAATTAATAGCCTACCAACTAAAAAAACCCTAGGTCCAGACAGGTTTACAGCCGAATTCTACCAGGCAGCCAAAGAGGAGCTGGTACCATTCATTCTGAAACTATTCCAAACAATACAAAAAGAGCAAATCCTCCCCAACTTATTTTATGAGACCAACATCATTCTAATACCAAAACTGGGCAGAGATGCAACTAAAAAAGAAAACGTCAGGCCAATATCCATGATGAACATTGACCCAAAAATCTTCAATAAAATACTGACAAACAGAATGCAACAGCAAATCAAAAAGCTTATTAATCATGATCAAGTAGGCTTCATCCCAGGATGCAAGGCTGGTTCAACATACACAAGTCTATAAATGTAATCATCACATAAACAGAACCAAAGACAAAAACCACATGATTATCTCAATAGATGCAGAAAAGGCCTCCTATTTATTCAAAGGGTTCTGTGTCCTTAAACTGGCTCAAGTCTGGAAATAGATTGAGGGGCTGTGATTCTCTATTTTTATAATTCAAATTAGTTTCAAATTAGTCTTTTGTCTACTCAACCTGGAAGTTTTCTGCTTATACAAATTAAGTAAGAATACAGTAGACTACCTACCAATTTCAATTCTAGGAACACCTTGATTAATCAGCCAATGCCAGAGCTCGACATGAGTCAGATGTCTAACTGGTGCTTTGTCTCTGCTGTCCATTAGGGTAGCTATGCCCACCTTACCCTTGACGGTTGAGTGCCACCTCAGAATCCAGTTATTCTCATTGCATTTATATTTTCTAATTGAGTGACTGTGATTTCCCCTGTAAGATCTGGCATACAGAGAAGAGCAATCACAGAGCTCTTCAGTGATGCAGGTGCTCCTCTCACAAATATATTTCATAAGGTACTGGTGAAGGATATGTCTTCTGGACCCTCCCAGCTGGGATAAGGGGATCTAAAGTGACTAATCCACTCTAGCATCCCAACCCCCCTAAGCCTTTGGATCCCTTCCTTACATTAAACCAAGGAAGATCAGGCATTTCTAGCTCACTCACAGTGGGCCATCTTTTGATCCATGTTTCAGTTAACCAGTTAAATAAACTATTAGAATCCTTTCTTTCGTCCTTTTTTAACTCCCTGAGCTGCAACAATTAATGCAAAATCCTTGCTTAGTGAGCCCAACAATTTTACATTCCTTCAACCATTACCCCACACCTTTGATATCCACTTCCATGCCTGTTCTTCAGAATTCTGCTTATATAAATTAGAAAACTCAAGCATTTAATTTGGGGTTTAGTGTAACTCCTCATGGGGCACACGATGAAACTCACCTCCAGAAGGCTGTCAGAAGTTTAGTTTAGTTATAGTTCTAGAAGCAGACAGGAGTGTTAGGGTGGGTCATGAGGAGCATCAGTGTTGTCTTGCCTTGCAACTATCTCAGGGAAGGCAATCACTCTTGCCTCAGGCAGTGTGTGATTCATCTCCTCAGAAAAATGTAGAAAGGCTGATGGCAGCCTGGATCTGCAAGGGGATGTTGCCACCACTGGATGTGGGGAGGCTGTTTCCTCTGGCTAAAAAAGGCACATCAGAGTTTAAAAGCTCAGTGTCCCCAGCGTCATCAGGGCTCTCCCATATGTCCCCATTTCAGTGCCCTCACTTTAACAGTAAACACCTGGTGAGACTGAGTGTGCACCCAGGTCAGCCACTTGCATAATAAGAGCTAGTGTCTGATTTTCTGCAATTTCAGTTCTTTACAGAAAAAAAGACTCACTTAGGGCAATTTTAGAAGACTTGAGGCTCAGCTGGGAATGGTGGCTCATGCCTGCAAATCCCAGCACTTTGGGAGGCCAAGGTGGGCAGATCACCTAAGGTCAGGAGTTCAAGACCAGCCTGACCAACATGATGAAACCCCGTCTCTACTAAAATACAAAAAATTAACAGGGTGTGGTGGTGCACATCTGTAATACCAGTTACTTGGGAGGCTGAGGCAGAATAATTGCTTAAACCTGGGAGGTGGAGGTTGCAGTGATCCAAGATTGTGCCACTGAACTCCAGCCTAGGCAGCAGAGTGAGACTCCATTTCCAAATATATAAAAAAAAGAAGACTTGAGGTTCAGGATGTGCTTATGGAACTGGGAGTTAGAATGCCTGAGCTCACCTTCTTAGTTCATCATTTTGTCCAGTGGACTCAGGAGCAACCAACCAACTTCATTATATACCTTGATTCTCCACATATAGTCAAAGGTATTATGTACAGAGTCACTAAACTCCTTGCCTCTCAGGAGTAGTAAATCAGGAGTATCAAATGCTTTCATTTTTCCTAACTTTCTAAACAGTTCACACCAAAGACTATCAGTGCTTTATACTATTAGAAGTAGAATCCTTAACATTTTGGTATCTAATCATATTAAGCAGCCAACTCCCAAAATCCCAAAACCAACTAAAGAAATACATCCTTAAAATTCTGTTCCTCTAGAACCACTCCTGGTACCAAAATCTGTATTAGTCAGGGTCCTCAATAGGGATAGACTTAACAGGATATATGTGTATACGAAAGGGAGCTTATTAAGGAGATTTACTTACACGATCATAAGGAAAAGTCCCACGACAGGTTGTCTGCAAGTTGAGGAGCAAGGAAGCTTGTGGTAGACCAGCCCAAGTCCCGCAACACAACCTCGAAAGTAGGGAAAATGACAGTACAGCCTTCAGTCTGTGGCCAAAGGCCTGAGAGCCCCTGGCAAACCACTGATGTAAGTCTAAGAGTCCAGAAGCTGGGCATCAAGTATCCAGCACAGGAAAAAGGGGAAGGTCAGAAGTCTCAGAAAGTCTGCCCTTTCGAACTTCTTCTGCCTGCTTTATTCTAGCTCAATCTGGGTGGGCAGCTGATTAGATGGTGCCCACCCAGATTGAGGGTGGGTCTGCCTCTCCCAGTCCATTGACTTAAGTGTTAGTCTCCTTTGGTAACACCCTCACAGACACACCCAGGAACCATACTTTGTATCCTTTAATCCAATTAAGTTGACATTCAATATTTACCATCACAGTATATAATAAAGATCAGAATTACTTTAAATTAAAAAAGTTTTACTGTAGATTAAGAAGAATATCTAAATACATGGATACAGTGGTCTGTGTTCTTTGATAGAAAAAATGACCACTGTAATGTTGCTAATTGTCTATAATCAATAATAATTACTGCAATTATGACCAAAATATCATCAGGAAATTCTGAGACATGACAGAATCATAAAATAATTAACAGAAATAGCTTGGACTATTTAGGAAAGGAGACTAACGAGCAGTCTTGGCTCCTTGTATGCTGAAATCATGATCATAATCATGATTATCATCATCATTGCTAGAGTTTGGATAGAGTTTGTTTGGACCCAGTAAATCTTACATTGAAATTGGATTCCTAGTTTTGAAGGTGGGGCTTGGTGGGAGGTGTTTGGGATGTAGGGGTGAATTCTTCATTGGTAGCTTGGTGCTACACTAACAGGAGGGCATAAGTCTCACTTTTAGGTTCCCTCAAGAACTAGTTGTTGAAAATGCTTGGTATCTCTTTCTTTCTTCTGTCTTGCCTCTTTCTTTCCATTTTATTCCTGAAGAGCTGGCTTCTGTTTATCTTCTCTCATGGGTGGAAGCAGATGCTGGTTGGTGTCATGCTTCTTGTACAGCCTGCAGAACAATAAGGCAAATAAACCTCTTATCTTTATAAATTACTTAGCCTTGGGTATTCCTTTATAGCATTCCAAAGAACTAAGACAATCCTCATTTTCAGCAATTATTGAAATAGAGTGGTGCTTAGAGAGCTAAAGACACTTAGTAAAGTAGAAGGCCTAAAAATTGTTCCACATAAATATGAAATTAGTTTATAACAAATGCAATATCATAAACCTAGAATGGGAAAACCACTTGAATTATATATAAGGCCCAAACCATACAAAAATAATTGCAGTAATGATACTGAAACAGCTAGGTTAGTCATTAGAAAACCAAAAATATTAGCTCTAACCACATAACAAAGTAAATTCCAGATAAGGTGATGATTTTAAATGAGGAGGAAAGGAATACAGAAAATAGCAAAAAGAGGGAATGCATATATGTATTTTTGTATGATTATTAATAAAATAAAGCTCTATGCAAATTTCAAAAGTAGTAAAATTTGCACATATTCCAGAACAGTGTGGTAAGATTCCACAAGACAAATGCTTAAACACAACATGTCTTTGAGAATGTGACATTAATATTTATAGTTTATTGTTACCTGGCTTCAACTCTGTGTGCTTTCAGTGGTGAGCACTCTGTATGAATTTCTTGGTTATAGAGAATCTTTCTGAGATGGCTTCCTCAGATGCTGGCCGTAGGTAACAATCAACATAATGACTGGAATAGAACATTATATTTCAATATCAACATTGAATTTAAGGGATTCAAAGATTCAAGGATTCATAGGTTGCATATTTACTAACATGAAAGCTTATTGTTCAACAGGTAATATTGGCTGAGACCCTAATGAAGACAATAACCCATTCTTCAGGCTGTTTTTCTCACATATATGATATCTGGAGAGACACAGCTTCCACTCCAGGGGCATCATTAAAAACTAGATCCTCAAGGCACATTCAGGTAATCCTAAGGTAAGAAAGTGGAGGACATAGTCCAAGAAGAAAGTGAGAACACAGGGAGTCTTCTTATCACAAATTGGGTGTTCTAGTGGACATATTGAAAAAACTTAAAGGAAAGGAGAGGAAAGGGATTTGAATAGGATTATGGATGTGCTCAATAAAATAAGGATAAAGAACCCTGTGACACAGGGTAGCATAAAGGCTTAGACATTTAGTTTGATTTAGGTAAATAGTGAATGTTTATTTCAATTCCCATTGAAGAGGGATAGATTTTAGGATTTCTCAGACCTGTAGCAATTAGTCTAAGCTAGAGTTCTGCAATTTAGTTATTTTGATATGAAGCAGTGAAAGAACAAAACTTACTGCATAAAAGAGAAACTTTTGCATTTTCAAATGCAGTTATTCAAAATACAGATGATGTCTCTTGTGTTTATGCATAACCTGATAGGCATGGACTAAATTATATAAATAAGGTTCATGAGATGTAGAAAGAGGAATGTGCCAAAAAGCTATAAAGGCAGCAGTTTATAAGATTCAAGTGGTTATGAAAGCTGAATTCATTATCACCATCTTCAGGATATCACAGTGGCCACAGAAAGGTTACTAGTAGAACAATTTGAGAAGGATTTTGAGAGTTGGGAACTCATGATTTATGAGAATGTATAATACACAGGAAGGAAATATAGTATCTGTATCAAATGCTATGATAGAATAAATGAAGAGAGACAGACAAGAGGAAACAAAGGCAAAGATGTGCTGATAATAAATATCAATCAAGGATGATACCAGAATTAGGGCTTAGAACCTATAAACAGCTAATATTTAACATTCATATGCTCCTTATATGTTTAGACACTATCCCAGAGTCATTACTAATTTAACTTGTTTAATCCCCTTTAAAAACAAAACAATATAAAACATTAGGAGATGTTAATGTCATTCTTAACCTCATTTTGTCTATTAGTAAATGAAGGCCTAGTAAGGTAAGGACCCTGCTATGGTCATGAGATAGTATGTGTTGGAGCTGAGATTCACACTGACTCTGTCTGTCTTCAAAACCCTTTGTCTTAACCTTTAGGAATTCAAAATAAGGAATTCAAGAACAGTACAATAAATCGAAGAATACTGTATTGGCAGAAAAAATTTAACAACTCAATAATATTAAATAATTGATCAAACGGTTTATAAAAAAAATTAGACATTACTGAAGTTATACCAGAATTTTCATCATAAATATCAAGTTTTAAAAGTTTAATTACCATTATATCTAATATATGAACTTTGATCAGAAAAAAAATGCTATATGTAGACAGGACCTGGCTTCATGAGTATGCAACAAGTGAAGTCACATGGTTCTCTGTGCTTACAGGAGCCTCATGCTTTGTTTAATGCTTTAATACCACCAGAGCATTATTTAATAAAATTTGAACAAGGAGCTTTGCATTTTCATTTTGTGCTACACCTTGTGAATTGCATAACTGGTCCTGTATGCAGATAATTAAATATTTTATGAATTATCCCAACATGCCAATATACTTAAATTTCATCTGATTTTAGCCAAAGTGAAAGTGATAAAAAAAATTATGGTACTGAAAATTTGGAATGTATTATTAAAAGGTAAAACAATTAAGTTTACCATATGTGCCATGTTTAAAACCAACATATCTCTGGTTTTTAAAATAGGAATGTTGATGCAACTAAATTAATAATGGGAAGGTATTTTGGAAGGATATCTCAATTATCCATAATGAAAATGCTACAAGTGTCCAGGAAGCAGTTGCAGCTAAGGCAGGTGTGCGGTGGGGGCAGAAAAGATCCAACTTAGTTTTAGGAAGAAAATGCACAGAGAAATGAGAAGGCAATCCCAGAGCATCTGTCAGATCTACGTGAAAAGACAATTTGAGAACAGATGGGAATAGAAAGTAGAAAATTACTTTCATACACATCTAGACATCTTTTGGCTAGCAGCGAAGAATTTGGTACAATGGGCTAAGTCCTTTAGGACATACTAGCCAACATGGATAAGAAAAGCCTTTCAAATCTGCTAGGTTTTTGCTAATGTCATTTTAGTCATTAATGTGTAGAACAAAAGAATACCAACTAATCTTTTAGGGGCCCAAGCAGAGATGTGTGTAGCAGTGTAGGGTCTCTTAAAAATTTTCTGCTTCAAAGTGTAGAGTAATAAAGTGAAGATAAAAATTCTGTTCAAAAACACATTTACATATTAAGCATGCCCAGAATGAGGATTTAGCCTATCAAATAAATGCAGTTCTATAATAAGAATGATAAAAAATTGCACCAGATTGTTATTTTGCTAGATAATCGAAAGACTGCATGTTTTAGGTCAAAATAGACTTCTGACAAAAATCTATTGGCTACACAAAGATTATAATTTCATTTCCCCTCCTCCTCCTTCTCTTCTTCTGCCTTTTCCCCCACCTTCTTTTCCTCCTCCTCCTTCTAGCAAATTTGTGTGTGGGTCTATATAAAGAACTTATGATATCATATAAAGACAAGAAGGGTTGAGTGGAATTTAATAGCGTTAAACCTTTTTCACTACATCTTCATATTAAAGTATATATTTAGTCATAAAAATTCTATAAGCGAAGTGTGTGTTTGTGTGTGTGTATAATTATTTCCTTTTTTTGTAGTTTCATGTGCAGGTTTGTTATATAAATATGCTGCATAATGGTGTGATTCAGGCTTCTACTGTGCCCATCACCCAAACGGTAAAAAGTGCACCCAATAGGTCATTTTTCAACTCGCACCTCCCTCCCCCTTTTTGAAGTCCCCAGTGTCTATTATATCCATCTTTATGTCCATGATTACTCAATGTTTAGTTCCCACTTATAAGGAGAATATGCGTTGAGTTTATGTTTATTTCATTGTGAACAATGGCCTCCAGCTCCATCCATATTGCTACAAAAGACATAATTCCATTCCTTTTTACAGCTGCATATATACTACATTTTCTTTGTCCCATCATCTGTTGATGGACACTTGGGTTGATTTCATGACTTTGCTATTATGAATAGTTCTGTGATAAACATACAAGGGCAAGTAACTTTTTTATATAATGATTTATTTTCCTTTGATAGATGACCAGCAGTGGGAATGCTGGCTCAAATAGTAGTTGTATTTTTAGTTATTTGAAATCTCAATACTGTTTACCATAGAGACTGTAATAATTTACATTCTCAAAATAACATGTTGGTGAGGATGCAGAGAAAAGGGAACGCTTTCTCCACCCTCACTAACATCTGTTATTTTTTGACTATTTAATAATCCTCATTCTTAATCGTATAAGATGATATTTCATTGTGTGTTTCTCTGATGATTAGTGATACTGAGAATTTTTTTTGTATTTTTGTCACTGTATACAAGAATTAACTCAAAATGGATTAAATATTTAACTGTAAGACCTAAAAGATACGAAATCCTAGAAAAAAAACTAGGAAAAACTCTTCTAGACATTGACCTAAGCAAATAATTCATGATTAAGACTTCAAAAGCAAATGCTATAAAACAAAAATAAACAAATGGGACTTAATTCAACTAAAAATGTTCTGCATAGCAAAAGAAATTATCAACAGAGTAAACAGACCACATACAGAATGAGACAAAATATTCACAAACCATGCATCTGAGAGAGAACTAACATACTACATCTACAACCAACTTAACTCACCAAGATAAAAACAAATAACACCTTTAAAAAGTGTGTAAAAGATATGTACAGACATTTCTCAGAGATATATTTCTTTTTTTTAATTGCATTTTAGGTTTTGGGGTACATGTGCAGAAAATGAAAGATGGTTGCATAGGTACACACGTGGCAGTGTGTTTTGCTGCCTTCCTCCCATTCACCCACATTTGGCATTTCTCCCCATGCTATCCCTCCCCAGCTCTGCTCCCCCCACTGTCCCTCCCCTATTCCCCCCAATAGGCCCCAGTGTGTAGTGCTCCCTCCGTGTCCATGTGTTCTCATTGTTCATCACCCGCCTATGAGTGAGAATATGTGGTATTTCATTTTCTGTTCTTGTGTCAGTTTGCTGAGAATGATGTTCTCCAGATTCATCCATGTCCCTACAAAGGACATGAACTCATCATTTTTTATTGCTGCATAATATTCCATGGTGTATATGTGCCACATTTTTCCTGTCCAGTCTATCATCAATGGGCATTTGGGTTGGTTCCAGGTCTTTGCTATTGTAAACAGTGAACATTTGTGTCCATGTGTCCTTACAGTTGAACGATTTATAGTCCTTTGGATATATACCCAGTAATGGGATTGCTGGGTCAAATGGAATTTCTATTTCTAGGTCCTTGAGGAATCACCACACTGTCTTCCACAATGGTTGAACTAATTTACACTCCCACCAACAGTGTAAAAGTGTTCCTTTTTCTCCACATCCTCTCCAGCATCTGTTGTCTCCAGATTTTTTAATGATCGCCATTCTAACTGGCGTGAGATGGTATCTCAATGTAGTTTTGATTTGCATCTCTCTAATGACCAGTGATGATGAGCATTTTTTCAGAGATATATTTCTACTATTTAAGTTAGCTACCAAAACATTGTAAATGAATTATAAGAAAGTCTATTATTTTCAGTCAATAAACATGTTCTCTTAAGTGGCAGGAGATATTTTAGTTTTCCAACAACTGGGTGTTGATTTCAGATTCTCAATTGGATTATGTTTCAGGGATATTTTTTATTATTATTGGCCTATCTTCTGACAACTATTAATACTACATATC